GGATAGAGATGAATGGGTTTAAGAGTTTTTAAGAGTTTTAAGAGTTTAAGAGTTTTTAAGAGTTTTAGCCAAATGCTTTATAATATATATTATATATATATATATATATATATATGAGGAGAGAGAGAGAGTGAGAGGTTCAGGAAAACCCTCCATTATATGAAAAACTAAGGAACACCCTTGTAACGTTTATTTGTATGATATGTACATGTTCATATAAGTAACTGAAGATGTTTCCTGATTACTATGCTAGTGTGCATGTGCATACTAGAAAAATTACTTACAGGTTACGTAAATGAGATGTGCATAACATACGACTAAACAGTTATCGGTGTGTTCCTCATTTTTTCATTTCTTACGGATTTTCACTGAACCTGATCCTATATATATATATATGAAAATTTGGTTGCAAACTTAACTTCCATTGTGAAATGGGGGACACCGAGAAAGCGATATTAATCCCCAGTTGTCCCCATCTATATATGAGAATTTGGTTGCGAACCTAACTTCCATTGTAAATTGGGGACAACGAGAGAGCGACCCTAGTCCCCAATTATCCCCATTCATCATGAATAATAATAAACATGAATTTGTGACATCATAAATGATGAATATTATGTGAATTTCTCGAACACATATCAGACTCTCATTTGTCCTCTAATTCACAATGAGAATTAGGTTCGCAAGTAAACTTACCCCTATATGTACACTACATTATGGTGGATAAGTCCGACAACTCAACAGCAGTGCGGAATTTTCTTTCTCGTCTGCTGGATCTGATCTATAGTTAGGGGGCAATACATACCAAAAGGTATAATGCATTTAGATAAAAGTTTATAAACAATTGATTAAACATTAAATAATGCTTAATATTGCATTATATTTTCAATGTATAATATTTATTAATATATTAATGTTAAATTATAATTTAGTAAATAAAAAATTATGACAATATTAATTAACGATCGAATTGTTGTATTTTTTTTATGACCAACATCTAATTTAATAAATGGGTTTATCGTATCCTTGAAGTGTGATGAGTTGTATTTATCGCAGATTTGTAGTGCGACAAGTTGTGTTTATCGCACCTGTGTGATGCTACAAGAAGGGGCAATCGTATCTGTTGGATGCGACAAAATGTGTTATTATATATATATTTGATGCGATGAAAGGGGTTATCTCATTCTTATGATACGAGGAATTAGTTTTCTCATCTATATGATGCAAGAAAACGAGGTTTGATACGATAAATGTTATTTACATGTTACCTTTTCAAATATTTGTTTTCCAAAAGTGTTTTGCTGATTTTCACTTTGTAATAGCAATCAAGAAATTTCTCACAACACCTTATGGTCCAACCCTCTTTTGTTTTGAAAAAAATGCATTACAGGTCGGGAACATATGAAAGGTAAAAGAGAAGGGAAATATGTAAATCAAAGTGTGTTAGCTTTACATCTATGAAATTTTGGAAGCTGAGTTTAAACATGAACTGTAAATCTGTGTTATTCAAGTTATGTATCTTGGTGAGCAAAAAGTTAGTAGCTACTTTACATATAGCAACATATATATATATATATATATATATATATATATATATATATAGGGGAGCGATCAAATGCAAACCACTCAATTTGTACAAACCGTGCAAACTGCATTCAACCAATCATAATTTTTCATTTTGTTCATTTTTTTGTAATTATGAGAGGTTGATTAACCATTTTTATTGTGGATGGTGTTAATCATGGATATTATCGTCTTCATTATTTTAATTTGAGAGAAATATATGAAACAGTTTCATTAAAATTTCATTAAATATTATATGAAACATTTTCATAACCATATATGAAACAAATTCATCAAAAAAATATTATATGTAACAATTTCACAAGATTAAACAATTTCATGAAAAAATTTCATAAGGTTAAACAATGAAATAGACGTATGAGGGTGGTTTGTACGGTTTACATTAATGAGAACGGTTTTCTTATGATCACTCATCTATATATATATATATATATATATATATATATATATATATATATAGGGGAGCGATCAAATGCAAACCACTCAATTTGTACAAACCGTGCAAACTGCATTCAACCAATCATAATTTTTTATTTTGTTCATTTTTTTATAATTATGAGAGGTTGATTAACCATTTTTATTGTGGATGGTGTTAATCATGGATATTATCGTCTTCATTATTTTAATTTGAGAGAAATATATGAAACAGTTTCATTAAAATTTCATTAAATATTATATGAAACATTTTCATAACCATATATGAAACAAATTCATCAAAAAAATATTATATGTAACAATTTCACAAGATTAAACAATTTCATGAAAAAATTTCATAAGGTTAAACAATGAAATAGACGTATGAGGGTGGTTTGTACGGTTTACATTAATGAGAACGGTTTTCTTTTGATCGCTTCTCTCTCTCTCTCTCTCTTTCTCTCTCTCTCTATATATATATATATATATATATATATATATATATATATTTGGGATCATTGTGTAATATTTGTATTTCATGTTATATAAAATATCTGTGTTTTATTTTTAAAATTTAATATTTAAATTAATATATATATATATATATATATATATATATTGTCAGGTTAAGCTGGTCAAATTACGAGAAAACAAGATTCATTCCAAATCACATGTAATATTTATATGCGATAAATAGAACAAATAAAATCACATACCCTTTTTATTTTTAGTAAGGTTTAGATCATTGACTTATTAGAAAGCTAATGACTCACATACCACTAAGTCAAAGTCCTTTTAATTAGATTTTCTTAATTGATGAATCTTTGTTTCTCTCTCAAAGAAATATTTCAAAAGGTGTATATATCCTTTGATTTTTAGTACTTTATTTAAAAAAATTATAGCATAGCTATCGGAAACGTTACCTTCTTCCCTAGTACGAGCTCACTAGCTTCTAGACGTTGCACCGAGTACAAGTATTCTTTAGTAACTCTTCGTAGTCTTCGCCATTGATCTCCGACCGGCAGCCATGCTATGGAGTACTTATGGTGGTCCACCACTCCGCCGGTGCTCGGAACTGATCGGCTAGAAAATGTTATATCGTGTGTGTGAAAGAATTCTTTGACGATATCGGGTGATGAAACRACTATCGTTGTTATGCATCCGAGCTTTAACGACATTAAAGGACCGTAGAGCTTAGACAACGAGGCCAGAGATCGGTGGGGTTTGTCACCGAGTTGTAAGAGGTTTCCGACGATCGGAAAAGGGTAAGGTCCTGCCGGAAGCCGCGAGTTGCGGCGGCGGAAGACGGTGAAGGCGTAGATGCATGTGAAAAGGAAAGAAAGTGAGAGAAAGAAGGTTGGATAAGCCATGGATTTCTGTGAAGGTTTGAGGTTGTTTTCTGATCACACTCCATCATATTCTCCCATAACTCAAAAAATCTTATATTTTATTGCAAGATGGTTGTTATAGTATGCAAAAACGTTGATAGTTGGTCCCTCGCACTAACGTTTGTTAAAAAGTTCGTTAAGTGGTGTGTTTTTACCAATTTTTTTATGTTTTACCTAATAAAAAAACCTTAGGGACTAAAATCGTAAAATCGATTTTAACTAAGGGGCTGTTTGGTAATTGTTGAATAGGTGGGGGCAGAATGATTACGTGATCAAGACTCTCATGATATAATACAAAATGAAATATAATTGTTTGGTAATTGTACAATAAAATTAGGGCTCTTAATGGTTAAGGGAGATCCATGATACAAAATCATTCAGAGGGTTTTGAAATTATTAAGAGTCATAATTTTTTTTTGTCAAACAAGATTCACCTCTAACGATTCAGAGGTTGCTTCTTAATGAAACTATTAAAAGGTAAACAAATAACCCCTAAAAGATAGAAGTTTGGAGGGGGAGGTTTCACTACGTGTGTACTCCTTCAGCATAGAACTTCGCCACCCCGTTTTCTTTATCAAAACCAAATAATTAACTATTTTTAGGCTATTTTTATCATATAATATATGATTTTATTAATAGAATGTACTGTTATTTGGTCTCATAAGCATTTCAATTATATGAAAACAAATGCATGTCTATAGAAAAGTATTACAATAAGTTTATAAAATGTTTTTAGATATTTTCAAAAAATTACATTTTTATATGACGTCTTTTCAGATTTGCATTTACGATATATAAAATAACTGGACACTTTCTTTTAAAGATGTTCTAAAAGACGTCTACAAACATAATTTATTGTAACATATTTATATAAGACGTACATTTGTTTTGTATTACTGAATGACTTATTAGACTAAACAATTATACGTCCTATTAATATAACTATATACATTTGTTTGATTAGATAGCCTAAAAATAGTTAATTGTTATATCAGGGTTTGAGGGTAATCAACAGCTTACACTTGAATGATGTTAGTGATATAAATCAAACTCATAAAAAACTAAAATTATAATGTCCAAAAATATAAAATAAAACAATTTTATTTAAAATATTTAATTATTTTAGTATAAGTAATAAAAAAATAATATAATGTTTTATGTACTAATTTTTTTATAAAAAAGTATATGGTTTTATTATATCAAAAAGACTAAAATAAAATAAAAAACTCAAAAATATATTTAATAAACCAAATGTGATAACCGGATTTTTATTTAAGAAAAGTGTAGGGTTGTTTATGCTTAAGTGGTAGAAGTTAAGGGGTGCGTTTTGAAAAATATGTTTATAATATCACAATGCTCCACCGCCTTTCTTTTAAATGTATATGTATGTGCAGGCACGTGCCCTTTTTATTTTCGTTTTTGGGAAAATTAAAAGAGATAAAAAAAGAAAATACGTAATTTTTATCTGATAATTTGTTGTTGTTCAAAGTTATCATCTTCTTGTGTTAACAAGGTGGGTTTTATTTCAAAGTTTTTATATAGAATCATATGGGTTCATACTTAAGTGTTTTTGAATATGATTATATGTATTTTTAGCATAATATTGGGATTTGATATGTAATATTATCAAGGGTGGCATAAATCAGGAGCTGAGTATATTTGGTAATAAGGGTAGTAAAATCAAGAGCTGAGTATATTTTGTAATAAGAGTGACATAATCAGAAGTCGGGAATACTGAGATAAGAGTGACATAATTAATTTCTGGAAATGAAGATCTTTTGATCATAAGATGAAAAGAAAAACAAATTATAAATTATAAGATGAAAATTGCAATTTCATAACTTTAAGAACGAAAATAGTAGTTTATTAAACTTAAGGGTTGTTTGGCAATTGCTGAATGGTTTGGTGCAGAATGATTAAATGATCAGAATGATTAAGAGGCTCTTATGATATAGTGTAAAATGAAATAAAATTGTTTGGTAAGTGTGTACAATGAAATTAGGGCTCTTAATGGTTAAGGGAGATACATGATACAAAATCATTTAGAGGGTTTTAGAACTATTAAGAGACAGACTTTTTTTTGCCAAACAAGATTAACCTCTTAACTATTCAAAAATTGTCCTTAATAAAACTATTAAAAGGTAAACAAACAACCCCTTAAATGAGATTTCTTTATTTTATTTCCTTGCAAGGTTTTGCTACCTATAACGCTTTTGAAATCAATGCACCGAATATTAATAGCACTTCACCAAATTCATTTATTTTTTAAATAATTAAATCTATATACATTCATTACATTAACCTTTTCCTTTTGTAAACACCAACTCAATATTATAAAAATAGATAAATTATAATGAAAAAGTAATGTATTTTAATTTGATTTTTGTTTTGGATAACATATTTTTATAACTTCCATTTTGGTACCTAAGATGTGAAGTTTTAAACATTTAAGTATCTGGGTAACCGGTTGAAGCATTAACCGGTTATCATGTTGATGTGGTATCCAACTCAATATTATTCGCTATTCAACCCAATGTTATCTTATCACTTGTCACATTAACATATTAACCGGTTAATACTTCAACCGATTACTCGGGTACTTAAATATTTAAAAAATTTACATCTTAGATACAAAAACGGAAGTTTTGAAAGTATGTTACTCAAAATAGGAATCAAGTTAAAAGACGTTATTTTTTTCTTGCAATTTTCCCTATAAAAATAAACAAAATAACTGAATAAAAGTTGAATAAAAGATTTTAGAATCTACAGAATCAGTCTGAAAGAAACCAAAACCGTTAATTCGAAACCAAAACACTCTTCAAAACCAGATACTGATAATACCAAAATCAAGACCGTCGTGTGAATAATTCTTTTGTTTATAGCTTAATTAAGAATTACGAGTTTGGAGATAAAAAAGTTTAATTCGTGATACACAGTACCCATCAAATAGATCCTTTTGGATTCTTCTTAAGATCTATTCGAAGACGCAAACTTGAATTTCTATAAATAAAAGTAGTTAGTGGACCAAATAGAAGTCTGTTCGATTCCAGAAGATAATGTTTTTAGAAATCCGCTGCTTCGATGGTATCCAGCTTCAGTCCCTTTACGAAACTTTCGTTATTGGTCTACAGAGACAAAATGTAGGACTGGCGCCAACAGTTACTGGAGCGAGCTACCATGAGACAAAAGATCGGATTGATGAATCCCACCTACCTTAATAAACAGAATATGATAAGCTTAGTGAATAATTAATTTGCAAGATAGGTGACAACTATTTTTGGAAATAATGATATCCATAAATTAACATGTTATGAAACATGTGGTATTTGATTTTATGTGATGTAAGAAATTCAAAAAAATAAAAACATCAAATCTGTTTTCATACAATAATTAAAAAACCGTAAGTCAACGTTGTAATATACTTTTCCTTTCGTTGTTCGGGATTAGATAGGTTAATCTACAAATTTAAAAGAATAATATTAGAACTCTCGGCGGATTATCGTTTAATTAATCAAATAATTATTTAAAATCGGTTGTTGACTTTAAAGATTTAAAAGAATATATTTAAATTACGTATGGATTTTAATTAATTAAGCAATTATTTGAAATTCATCGATAATCTGCCAGTTTATTTAGATATAAAAAAAATATTGGCGAATAACAAACGGGTTTTAGTTAATTAATTTCCCTGATAATCGATATGTAATTTATTGGATTAGAAAAAAATAAAGAATAATTAAAATTATCGGACTACCGTCAAATTTGTAATTAAAATCAACAAATTCGGTTGAATGTCAACTTTCTTTGATCCACTGATGATCCATTGTTGAAAGTCGTTTTTTCTAGTATTGAAGAAAAACCCAGATGAACATTCAAATTTTGAGTTCGTAAAATTACACTCATCTTTGTTGAAATTTGAACTCTAATCTCTTAGGAGGCTAAAGACAAATTTAAACTATGATCTCTTATGAGGCCAAAGACACTGATCAGTATCGTTAGGCTAAAGATCATTTGGTAATATAAATTGTTGTTTTCAGAGGCTAGATCTAGGATTCAGATCTCTCGATGAACCAAAGGCTAAGATAAGGGTCTGTTGAATCTAGAGTCAGAGTCATCGAAGGTTTTGAATCTGTTAGAATCCGATTTCGAGTCTCCGAAGCTTGAAATTTTATACAAAAACAAAATGTGGTTTACAAATTTAGCAGAAACTGGTTTTTTTTTCACCAATAGAATCCATCAATTGATTTCAAACAATAATATTCTAATTAATTTTAAAAAATCCGTCGAAATTTTTTAAAAATTTAGGATTAATTCCTACGGAATGACACAGTAGATGATTTTAGAAAGCTTTTTCTTTACTAATTCTAAAAATGCATACAAAATCTGTTGAAAAATCTGAAATTTTTTCTGTAGATTTCCTATGGAATCCATTAAATTAATTAGAAAAAATAATTTATATATTAGTTCTAAAAATCCGTAGGAAATCCGTTAGAAAATATTAGAATTTTTTACGGTTTTCTTACGGAATGAATTATGTCTTTTTAAATAACTAATTTTTTTATTAATTCTAGAAAATTGTACGAAATCTGTCAGATTTCCTACGGAATGAACTTCATGATTTTAAAAAACAATTTTTTTTGTTAATTCTAGAAATTTGTAGGAAATACGTCAGAGTATATTGTAATTTTCCTACGGATTTCTACGAAAGGCGTTGTTTGATTTTCAAAATGCAATTTTGTTTTAGTTTTAAGACTTTGATGGAAATCTAGTAATAGAACACAACAACAATATGACTACATTCTTATTCGGTCTAAACTGAAAATTATAGATAAATTTAGTATCAGATCTATTGATAGGTAACATATTTGCAATAGATCAACAACAAACAGTTCATTAAGTGTTAATGTAATCCATCAAGGTACAATACAATTCATTAAAAGCCACAGAAACCTGTGAATGCCCGATACAGTTATTAGCAAAAT